TAGGACACAGCGTGGTGGCAGCCTGCGGAGGTTTGCTGCTGCTCTGGTGACACGGCGGGGTGGGAGAAAGAGTGGGTTTTTGGAGGGGGGGTGGGGAAGCATGTTTGATGCCCCGGGGGAAGGGTGGGCAGCCTGTCAGGGAGGACAAAAGCATCCTCGCTGAGCCGGTCTGGGTCTCTGCCCCCTCCCAGGGTTTGGGCCCTGCCTTGTCAGCAGATTTTTGGCCAGCAGCCAGGCGAGGGGCTCCTAGTCTGGGCAGAAAAAAAGGCACCAACCCCTTCCCCGCTCCTCCTCCGCCTTCCCCCTGTACCCGAGGTGGGTTTGGTGCAGCTTCCCGAGCCCCCGGACGGCAGCGGAGCAAGGTGGCAGGGGCAGCCCACGGCTTTCTCTCCTCTTCCTGGGGACAGCAGCTCCTGCTCTCCTCCGGAACTCAAGGGACACCCTTCCCAAGGAGATCCAGCCTGGGAGAAACTGGAGAGCAGGTGGTGCGAGTAAGAAACACTTCAGTGGGGGATTGTTTGAAGACGAGACTCTTTCAAGCAAGCAGAACAAAAGATGTCGAAAGAAGCGCCCAGCATCACAGTGTAGACGAGCTCCCTGCCGGAGCCCAGCCCAGCCCTGCCTTGCTTCCCTGCCCGGCGGCAGCCAGCACAGCCGCTTCACCCTCCGAGCTCGCTCCTCTCCATGGGAACAGCGGGTGGTGGGGACGTGAAGGGAAGAGGTGGTGACAGGAAGACGGCAACAGCCACGCCGCTGTTATCTCCCCGAAGCCGGGAATGTGGCCCCGCGCCCGGGGCGGCTCTGGGCGGGCGCGGGGATGGATACATCCAACCTTATAGACGCCGACAGGGCTGGCGGCCAAGTGCCAGCGGCTTAAATTAAAAATCGAGGTAGCGAACGTCTGAAGTGCTTAGAAAATAAGTAAGTTCTGGAACGAAAGAGGAGGAAAGCCGAGCCGGCTGCTGCGGGGAGCAGGCTCTGACCCAGTTTAAAGCTGTGCCCGCTGCCCCACGGCGTGTCCTCCTCTGCCCACCCGGTCTGGGGGCGGCCGAGCGGGCAGGCAGTGGCTGCCAGCGCTGGCAAGGGACAGCACGGGTCCCGCAGCGGCTGGCTCGGCACCCTGGGACCTGCACGTGGGGGCGAGAGGTTTTTTGGTGCTGCCAAGGTGACCCCAACCTTCTCAAGCGGGAGGAAAGAGGAGAAAAGAGCAGGACCTTCCGGGACGGAGCAGAAAGCCTCCCTTTAAAGTGCATCGCGTTTCTCCTCCTGCCACCAGCTGGGACACGGGAGGAACCCTAGTTCACATCGCCAGGGAGATTTCCAAGCCGGGGCAGGCACACCGACCGATTGTTTTCGGGGACCAGGAGGGAAGAGATGATTTCCTTCCTGCTCGGCTCTGTCAAGGCCCACCCCACCAGGAGGTACGTTCAAGACAGGAGCAGGAGTGAGGATGTTACAAGGAAATGGCTTGCCCAGCAGCCCGGCCCCACAGCGGGTGAGGGACGGTGCTTGGCAGGAGCCAGTTTGCTAATGGGGGAGGCAAGTCCGCTGCAGAGCTGGGGACCTCGCTACCACCAGAGGTGGCCACGGATCACAGAGATCTGCTGCGGGCAGAGGGACTGCAGGCAGCAGTGAAGCCAACCACCCCCGAGCCGGCGTAAGCAGGGAGACGCAGAGGGGGAAGAGACTGAGGTCCAAGACAGCGGAATCTGATCTCCGTCCCCTTCCCAAGAGGAGCGCAGCAGCAGCCGAATGTGCTTGGAGACCGGTCCCCCCTCAGCCTGCCCCGTTCATCCTCCATCAACGGACCCATCCAGGGGAGCATCACCTAACACCCGTGTCAAGCGACACGCTGCGACACTGGCCATCTAAGCACCGGGCCCCAGGGGTCTCGGGGCCCCCGGCAGCGCGTTACCTTGCCCTGGCTCTCCCTGGGCCGCATACCTGAGAAGCAGGGGATTTTGTCTGGTGAGAAGTGCAGGCTCGCTCTCCCTTTAACAGCTCAAACACAGCAGCTCGTTCGCAGTTCCAGTTACCCATCCAACATCGGCTAGAGGCTAACGAAAGTATTTTAGTCTTCTGACTCAAGCGAGGATGTTTGTAAGCAGTCATTGCACAAGGTCACCCATCGCCTGCGAGGAGTGCTAGCCAAGCCCAGCCCGGCCTGCTCCGGCCTGCCTCACCTCTGGGCGAGGGGAGAGCCTTCGTCCCCGCCGCGCGCCCAGAGTCTTCCTCGGGTGGGAACACGACGCAGCCTCTCCTGGTGAAGGCTGGGGGGCGGTGGGGCAGGACCTCCCGCCCGCGGGCAGACACGTCTGGCGACTCACACTTCGCAGATGATCACCGGGAAATCCACGTGAATGCGAGGGTGCTCTAGTTTCACTATGCCCTGGAAGGAGAGCCAGCGGTGAGCAGAGGAGACCACCACCAACAAACGGCCCCCAACCCCAAGAGTCACCCCGTACGCAGGACACTGCACCCTCAAGGAATAGGAGTCAGTAAAGCCACTGTGACACCAGGTACGCCTGACCAGCGGCAGGCAAAGGGAAAGGGAAAGCACTTTGCCCTTCGAACTCGTCCCTGGAGAGCGGAGGACGGCGCGGCCGGTGGCCACACATGGCGGGTTCGGAGCTCAGCAGAGCGAGAAAGGAGGGAGCTGCTCTGCCAGGCACTGCCCGTGCAGCAGCTGGTGCGTGACTGGCAGATATTGGCCGTCTGGGCTTTTCATCCGGCACCTTTCATTCACGGGATTTAAAAAGAATGAAAAGAGCTCTCTGAGAGAGAGCAGCCAGGGCAGCTGGCGCACAAGAAAAGCAGCTTTCTCTCCAGAGGGGAGGCTGCTGAATGCACGCTCCCTCCACGTCAGCTCAGGCGCCTTTCCCATGCTCCGTCCAAGCCTTCTCCTGTTACAGCACCAGGAGGACCCGATGGCAGGTGGGGGGCTGGGGACGGAGGGGGGGCTTGGGGCTGCAGTCGCAGAGCCAGAGAAAAGCCTGGCAAAGGGTTACTTAGTGCCGGTGTTTGCTCTCTATGGCTCAGCTGAGCTTTCCAGCCAGATGGGTTTCAACCCACACTGATGTTAGGGGTAGGAGACAGTCCCACAGCCCAAGCCTGCCTCTGTGAGAACACCAGCCTGGGGAGCAGTGGCAAATTCTTCCCCCCCATAACTGCCTGCACAGAGCCCAGAGGGGCCTTGTCCTTCGGAGCGCACCAGGTGCTCACTAGAGTCATGCCCTTCTGCTTACTTAGGAAAGACTCCTGCAGGAATCTCCAGCCCTGGTTGGATCCTCCCTTTTCTCTGTTTAGGCCTCCAGAAGCTTCCCTACATGCACACTGTCCATCTCCTGCACTGAGCCCCACCACTGCCGTCCCAACTCCTGCTCAGCTTCACCCCAGTTGCTTATTTTAAGCAGAGACTTCTGCACCGAGATGGAAAACACACAGCTGTCAACACCACTGTCACTACTGAGCTGCCTGAGGGAACGTGTGCACTTGTGTCAGCGGGTGATGGGCTTTGGCTGCTGCTCCCAAAGCCAGGGCCAGCGACGTGACACTGGCTGAGCAAGCGCAGCACCCTGCACCCTGGGGAAGGCGGTCAGTGACAGGACACCACAGCCACGCATGGCCGGGTGACATTCTGTGCCCCACAACACACACTCAGCTGAGGGATCTTCCCCAGCCTGGCAGCTCTAAAGGGCTAGGGCACCACGTCTCTCTGGAAAGGGGTCTGGAGGGATGAGCAGAAAGCCTTCACCTTCCTGACAAGAAGATGCCCTGGGGGGGGTGAAAGGTAAGGCCGTGACTTCAGCTGTCACTGTGGAGCTCTGGCATTGACTTTCCGCCACCCGTCTCCACACGCTACCTGAGGTACCAGGTTCTTGTGGATCCTCTTCAGCTTGGCGCGCTTCCTCCCGTTCTTGGTAACGATTGTCTCCTCGTAGAACTCGTGGGCGAGATCCCCATCCTCATCGTAATACATGGAGCTGCCGAGAGGAGAGGGGAGGCGGGTGGGAAAGGGTCTGCCGACAGCTGCCAGCTTCCCGCGCCCCGAGCGGGGGATGGAGCCGGGGCAGGCCGCCACCACCGCCACCACCACCACCACCAGCCCCGGG